TACTCCGGGAGGTATACAACAAATGTATAAAATATAAAGTATGCAATTGCTATAGACACTAAACATTAGCACAAATAAAAAGCATCAAGACTGGTGGCAATACCCATAATGGAACTTACACTAGATATTCAAGATATATTCTTGATAAGTCCCTACAGTTGTTTGTCTAAGCCTAAGAAAAGCAGTGTTGCATGAAGTCAAAGTCTTATTTAGTCTAGCGTCCTGTTTCTCTTAGTGCCCAACCTAATATCATGACCCTCAGCCAAAAAAGAACCAAGTACTGTATTTTGAAATATAAAATTTTGATAGGGTGATAAGGTCCTGGCAGCGCTACAAGCTTGAAGCATTCTAATCCATATCACCAGAGGTGAAATCTGAAATCTACCCTTGTTGAGTGGCTTCATCTCTGATTTGGAGTTTCCTTTGAACAAGGACCTAGTTGGATGGTTCTGTGAGTTGGGTGCTTAGCTGTAGAGGTTGGGATTTTTATTCCATACTCTGCCTCCAGCAAAAAAAGCCAGCTTGTGTAGCCTTGTGCAAACTACACAGTCCCATAGTGCCCATAAAAGAAGGGAATTGTAAATCATGTTTGAGTATTATATGTATCTCAGAAACATTTAGAAAGTCACTGCAAGTCAGATTTGACTATACAGTGTATAATTATTACTTATTACTATTTATCAATGAATTTGGTCTGCATGTCTGGCCATGGATTTTGGAATCTCAGTGTTGTTATTTTCCTGCACATCCTCCAGAATTGTGATGTCCCACCTAAGACTTATGTGAGGTTGAAAGCTAGCCTATTTGTGAGATTTTAGTGGTCTAACAAAGGTACCACCTATGTTTGTATTTGAATTGTCTATAATGATTATACTTGCCCACTTTTCATTACCTTGTACTGTGTTTCCCCAAAAATAAGACAGGGTCTTATCGTATTTGCCGGCGTATAAGACGACTGGGTGTATAAGACAACCCCAACATTTCCACTCAAAATATAGCATTCGTTATATACTCGCCATATAAGACTATCCCTCCCTCTGCCTTTTAACCTGCTGGAGGGGCCAAAGAGGGAGGAGAAGGAAAGCAAGTTTCTTGGGCAGGCTACCAGCTGGCTCAAGGCAGAGGCCAGCGTCTGCTCACTCGCCCGGCCTCCGGAAGTCTCCTCGGGAGCCTGGCGCGGTGACGGCCCTTGCAACGAGTGGGGCAGCTCTGGCTTGTCGCAGCCGCCATTTGCTTGCCAGCTTCTCTCCACCCGGGCAACATGGTAGTACGTCACGGGGAAGAAGGAGGTGGCGCTGCTGCTGCTTTCCACAAGGGTAACTGTGCGAGGTAGTGACTGAGCCGGTGGGGACCGAGGTCCACCCGCTTCCTAGGCTGGGCTTGTCTCTCCATGCTGCTTCCTGCTGGGCCATGCGGCGTCTGAGAGCCGGAGCCGCCTGCTGCCTCCTTGGGAGAAGAGGCGCCTCCTCCTCTTCCTCGTTCATTGTCCTCTTTCCTCCTTGCACTACATGCTGCCTGCTCTGGGTGCACCTGGCGTATATGACAAACCCCCCTCCCCACTTGGAGGTGTGTTTTTCAGGACAAAAAAGTAATCTTATACACCGGCAAATATGGTATATTAATTTTTGCTCCAAAAACGCATTAGGGCTTATTTTCAGGGGATTTTTTTTCATGTACAACAATTGACATTTATTCAAATACAGTCATGTCATCTTGTGGTTGCTGCACAAGGGTGGAGGGCGGTCTTTCACTTAAGTGGGGCTTATTTTGGGGGTAGGTTTTATATTACAAGGATCCTGAAAAATCATACTAGGGCTTATTTTTAGGTTAGGTCTTATTTTTGGGGAAACAGGTTATTGCTGTTTATTATGACTGTTATTCAGAAGCATACCTATAATTCTGAAGGTGCTATATAGGCATAATGGTTAGTAGCTATTTTTATTGAGTTCTGTTCAGTGGGGTTTTTCTAGTAGATGTGCATTGGCATATTGGAGAGCCAGTACTGTATAGTGTGGATTCAGGATCATATTAGGAATCAAGATAGTTGTGTTCAAATGCCTGGTTGGTTATGGGAGCTCACTGAAGGTCCTTGAGAATCTCGCATATGTCAAAAAACCCTATTAAGGTTTCCATATCCTGGAAGTGAGTTGACAGTAATAAAAACAAGAATTTTAGTACTGGAGAAACAAAACTGCACGTCTGTTTAAATAGTAATGCTTTTGGTATTTACCAGACATCCAAGAACTGAATATAAAGACCAGAAATGTCTTGAAATTTAAAATTCATATTTAAATGTTAAGCTGTCATCTGCATTACAGCTTTAGTTTAGGCAATATACTTTGGTATTGAAGAGGAATTTGTCATATTAATGAATGCTTATGTGAATAGCACAGACCATGGGTGTTGCGTCAGAATCACAGTGGAGAGTGCACAGTTGTGAATGGAATTGAAACTTTGTGAATTGGCTTTATTCTTTGAGCTAATTTGGAAACATACTTCAAGAAGACAAAAGATTATTTTAAAGAATTTTAAACTGCCCAGTTTTTCAGTGATTACCATTTTATTAGTAAGTCCTTATATCTTTTGGGTCTTACTCCATTAATTACTTTAAATATTAAACTTATCAGCAACTTTTCTTTTACATTGTTAAACACTTTTTCTTGAGCCTGTTAAAACTATTTAATTAACATCATACAATGTTTTTTATGTTTACCAAAACAAGACAGTACATTCAGATCATGGCAATTTAGCTTCTGGACTGTTACAGATTTAAAGTTGCAGAATGTTGCCACCTAATGGCAAAAGATTAATTACCTTGTGGCTTTCAAACTTGGTTCCATGGAAATCTGCGGGTTTTGCAGTAAAATATTCTTGCCACGTAATAGACCTCTTGAAGCCTTCAAAGACTCATTGAAAGCAACCTCATTTCAGTAATCCAGTTGTATCTAAATTTTGTGTTCCCATAATGTGGGTTCATGGAGGATGACAAGGATGTTCTTGGCAGGGAATTTGACCTGACTTAACCTTTAGATCAATTCTGATTTTAATATTAGGTGCCCTCAAGGAGAGAACTGTTGGCCTAGCTGAGTAAGTGCACCTTGCTCTTTAGCTTGGGCTTCAAAGAATATTTGTAAGCATTTTCTGACACTTAGAACGTCAGCTTTCCAGAGCAGTACTTGACATGTTCTTCAAGAGTGGATTGATGAATATAATCTACAAAAGCAAGAGGAAAGGTTGATTTAAATTACTGACTTCACTGAAATGTTTTCTTGATACTATTTCACATATTTTCTACACAGTGGCACAAGTCTCTTACTACAGCTAAACAAAATATTGTTTTACACTGTGGTTGCATTCATTCAAACCAGCCTACAGTATTTGTCACAATGTTCTTTATGCTGTATAGTAAATGTTTTCACAGTATTTCCATCAAGAGTCTTATGTTACGACTATCAGTGTGACAATTCCAGTGTGAAATTAAGTATGAGAAGATAGTGAATCAGCTCACTGGGCAACTTCTTGTTTCCATGTTGTTCTTTTCTTTTTCATATTTCTTGGCCCAGCCCTACTCTCACCAAAACCAAACAGTAAACAAAAATGAAATGTTCATAGTGATTAAATTGAAATTACTGACAGTTACCAGGGTGTTTATAGTAGTTCATGTGTGTGAAATGGAAATGAAATGCCTGTGCTTTGGCAGGTAGAAGTAGTCTTGCTTATCTGCAAAATTATTGAAATAGTTCTTCTACTTGCATAAATATTCTTTAACTCAGGGGTCTCCAAACCTTTCAGCATGGGGGCCGCATCATATATTTTAAACATTTTTGAGGGCTGATGGAACACATTCGTGGGCTGAAGGGAACGGAGCTGAGCCTGCGGTGGTCCTCAGGCTGGATAAAAAGGCAAGGCAGGCTGGATGTGGCCCATGGGCCGTAGTTTGGAGACCCCTGCTTTACCTTAATAGAAGAAAACTCTGACTGAAGAGCTAAGATGATTATAATGACTATAGTCTTAAAGGACAGCATAGTATTTTAACATTGGTTTTCCCTCATTTATTTTGTATATTCTTTATTGTATAGTACAGAGAGTTTCTACGAACTTTTCCCTTGTGCATATCAATGCCAAAAGTGATGCAAGCAGCTGCATTTGATTCTGGATTTGGGAAAAGGTGCAACCATCATTTTGTGTTCTGGGTGAAATGACTAGTGATGCCTTTCTGCAGATGAGGACCTGAGATGGGAAGGGAGCATGCTTGTCTCACGTTTGCTGTGAAGCTACTGAAATACAGGAATAGATTCCATGGATTTGTGAGTGGATTCATGAAGGAAAGTTTGGTTCCATAATACTTCCAAGGCATGAATTGCTGGTTTGGCGGTTTGGCACAGTTTGTTTCTTAGCGGAACAGCTCCCCCAGATGCTGCCTCTGCCTGGGTGCCCGCTGTAGGGGTGGGGCATGAACTACGGATCAGCTGTTCAACTGCGAAGCGAACCACACTGAACTGGTGGTTTGTGCTCATCTTTACTTCTAAATACTATCCCTTGGCAGAAGCTGAGAGTTGTATAGAAGATTATTTTTAAAAAAATTCTGAACCTGTTTTGGAAGCTGATGTGGTGCTTTGCAAACATAATATGCAGAAAAGGATTTTATATTTATGGATTGCTTGCTTGTACCAAAAATGGTAAAAAGAAAGATAGGAACAGATTATGAGAAAAATTCAGAGTTAGGGTTTGTCTTTTAGAATGAGAGTTTGAAAGATACACAAACATAGCTAGTGGTGAAGGCTTATGGGAGTTGCAGTTCAGGAACATCTGAATTACCCAGGGTTGAACTACATCACAGTGGATAATTAAAAGAATGTTGATCAATTTACTGTTTCAGGAGTGAAACTTTAGTTATGTGAAGAGAGGTGGAATAGAAATTAAATCAGCTCATCAGTCAATAATAATAAACAGATGTTCTAGTTTATAGATCCTTTATAATTTGATCTCTTCTTTTTTAGGTGGTTTTTCCACTGTTCTGCTTGTACGGACCTATGGTGGAATCCGGTGTGCACTGAAACGAATGTATGTTAATAATGTATCTGACCTCAATATCTGCAGGAGAGAAATAACAATAATGGTAAGTCACAACATTTTCATGTTGTGAATATATATATGTCTAAATATTGTGTTAGGCGTGTGAGTTTATTACCACAGCTGCTACCATATGTGGACTGAGGGATACCACTATTGTAGCATGTGTGGTATTATCTTAGGAAGACAATAATTCTGTTGCTGATTGTTGTTCAAACCTATTTTTATATGATGGGCTTTGTGTTCCAAAAGTGTGTCATAAGTTATGAGAGTGTAAAAAATTAGTGAGGCTGTCATCAACATTAACAGGCACCACGTAATAAAAATTACTTTGACAGTAATTTTAGCTGCATGCTGTTAAAACAATGGTAACTTGTTAGTGTTTTATCTTATGTTGGACCTATCTTTAATCCAAACATTTGGTGTGGGATCTAGTTATGTTTTTTGAAATGTGTATATCCCTCACTGAGCTCTCAATATTTTTTCCTTATCTGTTTTCTTAGATATGCTGGTTTAGGAGTCACGTCTGCCTAGGAAATACTGGGAACTTTGGTTTTGCTGCCTGTCTCAAGTTATAATTCCTAGGATTTTTTGAGAGGGGAGAAACAAATCACTACTTTCACTATTCTGCATTGCCGAGTTTGTGCGGGGAGGGGGGGTCTGTCTCTGCTCAGGCCATGGACCGGGGGTTGAGGACCTCTGTTGTAAAGTACTGGCTTGTAGACATACAGTATGTATTGGGAGAAAAAAGATGCAGAAAGAGAAGAAACAAACAGGGTCGGGCACCATTTCATGTAGTTCAATTTTTTATTATTCCTTTACACTCAGGAATCTTGTTTCTTTTTCAGAAAGAACTGTCTGGGCACAAGAACATTGTAGGGTATTTGGATTGTGCTGTTAATTCTGTTAGTGATAATGTTTGGGAAGTACTCATTTTGATGGAATATTGCCGTGGTAAGTAAGGCTCATCTAATTTTAAATAGTTGTCTAACAAATGGTAGAGTAAGACTGTAACAGCAAAAAATATTTCATGGATTGTTTGTGTAGCAGCTGTTCATTAGGACCCACAGAGATAGATAGTATATACATTGCCACATAAAACTCAATGTTTTGATTAGTTATTTTTGAAATATGACCACTTCTCTCCCAAATGCTTTCAGTTTGGGGCATGTTCACCATAGGTAAACTAACATTCCTCCCTGACAACACACTCTCCAGCATGCAGAAGGAATCTGAATATTTATTATAGATACTGTAGCTAATCAGGACTTAAGTGGCATCTTTGGACTGTTTTTAAGGCATTTTTCTTGATTTGGACTGATACTGTTTTAAGTTTTGGCATTGCCCAGATTTTTTTTTTTATAGTTGCTGCATAATGCTATCTGAGAGGCTTGCCACCTATGCTATTTTGGCTCCTTACATTCCTGCATATCTTGTATGTTACTCAATATATATTTTACTCAGTATATATTAAGAGTTGACCCATATTATTTTTGGTCTTTACATAGTGCCACAAATTCTATGAATAGGGAGCATGGTGCTCTTTCATTTTTCACTCATTAATTCATTAATTTATTATTTCAACTTCTATATCTCATTAGTGTTATCACTGTCTGTGTTGCTGTGTATATTTGATTTATTTGCATTATAAATACATTTTAATTGCTTCCAAATTGGCAATATATAGCTCTTCTGATTACTCTTGAACACAAACATAGAGTATTGGTTCAGAACATATAGTTGCCTATGGCTGTCTTCTTACTTCTTTTATAGTTTATATAGTACTGGGCAAAAGGGATTGCTTGAATTGGTATAGGTATGTATATGGAGATTTAGGTACGGCTACACTTGCATTTGATAGTCTTTCTGTGGCTTGATTTGCAGCCTATTTTATGCTTCTGTTTGGATTAGATGATCACAGAGACTGCAAATTATTTTGGTACCAGTGCCCATATTGGCTCCTAAATTTGAGGCAGTTTGATCTACACCACAGCCCCCCCTCCCGTTCACTCTGCCTACTGATCCTTGGCTCTCCTTTTGCGGTTCATTGTAAAGCTGGTAGGCTGTTTAAAGTGTTGCATGGCATTAAGGAACAGGGATAATTTCCCAAAACTCACCATAATGTACAGTCACATACACATGTATTATGAAAACATAGTCTCCTTTAGTTTGTCAGAGTTGTTTTTATTTCATATTGATTTTTTTTTCCTGTTGAGAGGTGATCTAGTGTTAGACGAGTATATCAATATAATGATAAGGTGATTTGTGCTAAACTCTGTAGTTTTTATTAAAATATATTTTGGAGAATGAAACAACTGATCCCATTAGGAATGTTTGAATCATTGTGGATTGAACAAAATAAAAGCCCCCAGTGGCAGGGAAAAAAAAGGCTGCACTGAGTTGCCTTTGTTTTTGCATCGTATGATCAGTTACAAAAAGCAAATTCTTCTATTTCACACAGCAGGGTTTGAACCCAGGCCTCCTGAATCCTAATCTTGACGCTATCCATTACTGCACAGTGACTCACGTGGTAGTCTTTCTCTATTAAATTTGGTACCTTGAAAAAAGACTACTTGAATTTCTCATTTAAAAGACAATGCTACTAGTTGATCAAGATAGTTAAAAACATTCGTGTTTTGAATAACTAGCATTTCCAGCCGTAAAGTCTTGTATTTATCCACTTTGTTCAGAATTCTTTAAAGTATTGTTGCATTTTTCTACCTTTTTTTTGGTCAGCGGGACAGGTAGTGAATCAGATGAATCAGAGATTGCAGACAGGCTTTACTGAGCCAGAAGTGCTAAGAATATTCTGTGATGCCTGTGAAGCTGTTGCTAGGTTGCATCAGTGCAAAACTCCCATTGTTCATAGAGATTTGAAGGTAAGTGGAACTATTGTGAGTGGTATTCTTGCTGTTCTTAGTTATGAATGGGCATACCTTTACTTTGTTTCTGTTATCTTTATAGTATGATGCTACTAAATTTGAATTAGCCTTTTGAAAATTCTTCACTGAGTTGAAAATCAATGAAGCAGATGTTTCCCTGCTGATGTGATAGAGATTATTTTTTTGACAAAGGCATCTTCTCCTGTCTTAGAGCTCAAAACAAAAAAAAGAGTTGGCACGAAGACTGCAAATGGTATAGGTATTCTAGTAATAGTGAATATACACATGTAGGAGTCTATATTGTCGTGCCTTCTGTCTCTCCACCTTCTCTATATCATCAGGTAGCTATCCAACAAAGCTTTCTTTGTTTGGAAACCTTTGGCAAAGCTGTATGGTCAGAAATGCTGATGATTTTATCAGTTGCTACCATCTATTGTTGATTTAATGTTTCTTATTCTCCCCTCAGGTGGTGAGGCTCCCTAGGGATCTCTTTCAACCTGAAAGAAGCCTTTGGGAGTCTTGGCTGGGAGAGCTTGTAATGTCTGAAAACTGTCACTGCTAGACCTTGCTGTGGTGATTTTTGGATATGAAATATCTTCCCCTTATCCTGAGGCTCCCAAAGGGTTTCTCAGGTTGAAAAGGATCATTAGGGAACCTGGAAACTTTGAGTGGTGGAGATTTGAAATGTTAAAGATTAATGTTTATATGTGGTAACATCATCAGTATTTATAACCGTGGAGTTGTGCAAGAGGATTTCAGCCATCAAATGAAGAAAGATTTGCTGTGACATTTTGGAGTAATGAAAGGGTTGTTAAATGCCAGAGAGGAATGTATTAAAATATTTGAAGGCCTGCTCTGGTAATCTTATAGGCAGGTAACCTTGAGGTTATAGTTATTTGTACTAATTCTGACTTAGATGCTGTAATGCAGTGGTGTCGAACTGTGGCCCTCCAGATGTTCTTGGACTTCAACTCCCAGAAGCCTTCACCACCACCTCTGCTGGCCAGGATTTCTGGGAGTTGAAGGCCAAGAACATCTGGAGGGCCACAGTTCGACACCACTGCTGTAATGGATAGAGTTCTAAAGGAAATGTCCAGAATACTGGCCCATTTGGCTTCCTTGACATGGTTCAACCCTTGCCACTAGGGTACACATAGTATCCTTACAATTTTGGATTAGAGATCCTGAGGTCTTGGATGACTGGTTATGCCACCAGATGCTAAGCCTCTGGAATGTGTCAGCTTACCTAACCCAAGCATGAATCTATTTCGGTATAAATTAGTTTAATAACTCAATTTTTATCTTGCTTTCCCACCCCCCAGAAGGGTACTCAAGATAATTTGCCTCATGGTTTGGTCCTTGAAATGGGAGCTATGGTCACCTGATCCGGACCTCTGATACGGCTAGGAAAAAGACAGGAAGAGTTCAACTGTGGCGATTCTTACTTAACCATGAGATCTTGTATAGGTAGAGGGCCAGAGTTGTACAGTAGGTCAGTTCTTATCTCTATAAGATACTGTATTAGCTATTGATTTCTGCTTGAGTTAATAGCATTTGAGTTTTCAGGTGCACATGTATATTAAGGTACTTGGTGAGGACATCTTGAGATTTGGAATGAGGAGCCATTAATGTACATGTGACATTGAGCTATATTTCTCAATGTCAGCTGAATCAGGAGATGTAGAAATGCTGGATTTTTGTCTGAACTCAGTAATGAGATGGATGAAGCAGAGTCACTGTGGATTTTTGTTTTCCACATATTGGAGGATGATATTCTGTCTGTTTTAGAGTTGGTTGCGCTCTCTCAAAAGAAGAAGGTACACTCTGTTGGTTCTCCACGGCCCATCGTTATTAGTAAAGCTGATATGGTCTTAGAAGCTTGAATCACTTTTTACCTTCTACTGGTAGCTTGGCGTACCTCAGTGACTGATGAACGTTGTTGGTGGGTTTGTTCGATTGGCTTTTAAGAGGTGCCATCCCCCTTGTACCACCATCAGGAAAGTTCAGTATATATCTACATATTTCTTATGGTGGCCTGGCTTTGGGTTATCCTTCCAAGGGAAGTAAGATCAGTGTAGAATTTAAAACATTTCAGCTCACTTAAGCATTTTGATGAGAATTTTGAAATGGTTGAATATTAGGGCTGTCTTCCATTTTAAAATTAACCAACCTCCCTCCCTTCCTCCCTCTCTTTCTAGGTTGAGAACCTTTTGTTGAATGACAGCGGGAATTATGTCCTCTGTGACTTTGGAAGTGCCACTAATAAATTTCTTAATCCTCAGAAAGATGGTGTTAATGTGGTTGAAGAGGAAATTAAGAAGTAAGCTACATTTCTTATATCAGTTGTTTAACACAATATTCTGATAAATGTAGAATTCTCCATGTAAAAACACTAAGTGTTTGGGGAATTTTATGTGTGTGCATGTGTCTGGTCTCTGGGTGTCTGTAAATTTCGTTGTATGGGTATACTGTGTACAGTATATACTTACAATGACAAAAAAATATTATTATTA